GAGGGGCGGCCCCGGGCCTCGGCGAAGCCGGCCCGGAGCACCGCCGCCATGTTGGCCTCCGCGCGCCGTCGGAGCAGCGAGCAGGACTGGGAGGTCCATCTTGGGCCCAGCCGCAGCGACAGAGCCGCCGCCTTGGAAGGAGAGCGACCCGCCCCTCCCAGGCATGCGCGCGACTCTCCTAGACGCTGCCGGGAGAGGCTGTGGCCGAGGCTCCGCGCGTGCGCAGTGAGGGCAGTGGGCGTGGCCCGCCAGGCCTGTTGGGGCTGTCCCGCCCTGCGGCCGCGGGGCGGGGCGGGGCGCCGCTGGCTCCTCCCCGTTTCTGTGCTCCTCAGTTCTATTCTCAGCGCGTCCCGGAGGTTCCTCAGGCTGTGTCATATTTTTTTAGTATCTGAGTAGCGCAGATAAAGAGGTTAATACTACCAGACGTGTCGTAAGCGTTTACCGTTCCCTAAATACTTTGCAAATACAACCTAATTCAATCTGTGTGCTGTCACAGAACCAGGAACTGATAGATTCTGGGTTTGAACCTTCATCAGGCTGGACCACTTCCTGGTGGGCTCACTGAAGTGCCCCCCTCCGCCCGCTAATGGTCCTCACTTCAGCTCCTCCAGGTTATTTGCTTGCACCCAGGCCTGCCTGATGGGACCCCTTCCTACACTGCTATCTATTTTCTACAAACCTGACACAGTCTCAGCCTGTAGAAGCTGTTTGTCACTGTTCCCAAGACTCTGCTGTCCCTCTCGTCCCATGAGGAGGTTCAGTATTCAATCTGGAGCCCTTCACTTCTCATCTTCTTCACCACTGCCCCAATCCAAACTCGTATTTCACTCCTAGTTTTAGAAAAATAACTTAGCATCTGGTCTTCAGTCTCCATTCACCCTACTGCCTTAATCCAAACCACTCTCCACAGGGTAGGCTTCCGCGATCTTTTATGCGGATCTAACCAGGCCTGTCCTCCCGTTGCTCTCCATTGCCCATAAGGCTTTGCCAGTCTGCCCTTCACACCCCGGGCATAGGAAGGAGTTTGCTCTTATTCCCAGCACACTCCTTCTTGCTCTACAATCCCATTGCCTGCCTGTGCTGCCCTGCACACCGTTTCCTCAGTTTCTCCAACAGGTCAAGGTGGTTCCTTCCTCATACACACGCTTGGCAGAGGTTTCTTTGATTACTTTGGGAGGACTCTGTTAACACTCTAAAGTACCTTTACTCAGGCCCCTTATTTCCCATCTCTCGTTTGTTTTTGTAGCTTTCATCAGGCAGTTGTTTTAGGTGCCCCCTTCTCACTGTCGCCTTCTCTGCTCATTCACTATCTCCCTGTCTAGAAGGTAGGCTTCTGCAGCCTGGGAACTGTGTCTCATGCACAGCCGAATGCCCAGAGCCTGGAGTGGAAGACACCCAACACATATTTACAAATAAGCAAATGTTTTGTTGCCATTAAAGGTATTTTAGGGTAAATTATATCACAATATTAAAAAGAATAGAATACATCTATTATATATACTATATATAGTATATATAAAAATTTATATACTATATATACATAAATATATACTATATATAAAAATATATATAGTATACATAAATATATATACTAATTTATAAATATATAGTATGTATAAATATATATAGTATATATAGAAATATATATACTATATATAGTATACACTATATAGTGTATATACTATATATACCATATAAAAATATATAGTATATAGAAATATATACTATATAGAAATATATATAGTATATATACTATATACAGTATATAGTATATATACTATATATAAAAATATATAGTATATATAAATATATATACTATATATATAAAAATATATATGAATACATGCTCAAAATATGTTGTTCTAAGACCAATGGAGGCTACAGTGGTCTTTTCAACAATAGTAGTATTGTGTGTCTCACATTACATACAAACAAAGACTTAAAATTGATTTTACAAACCTAAATGTAAGATCTAAAACTATGTATTAGAAGAAAGCATGGTTATGAATCTGCCTAACTTTGAGTTAGGGAGTAGTTTGTTCTAGGTAATATCAAAAGAATCAACAGTGGAAGAAAAATGATGGGAGTTAAACCTTTAAGAGTTTGAAAACCTTTAAGAGTCAAAGGACATTAACAAGTGAAAAGACTACCTGTAGAATGGGAGAGAGATTTGCAGGTCATATATTTAATAAAGATCTACCATCCAGAATACATAAATTAGTCATATCTAAAGAAGAAGACAACCCATTTTTTTTTTATTTGAAAGAGAATAATAAAAAAAAATAGCAAAATACCAGCAACATAGACAAAAACAAAACAAAGCAAAAACAATAAAAATGGGACAGGGTTTCAGAACAAAAATATAGGAATTAACAGTGGCTGTTATTTTACACATTGTTATCTTACCAGGTGAAAGAATGCAAGATTGATCAAACCACTAAAGAGAATAAAAAATAAAAGAAAAACGTTAGAAATGATGCAGCACTTCACTAGGCAAGATGGCAGGAATTCACCCTTGGTTGTTATATTGCATATTGTTGTCTTCATATTAGTTGTTCAGATTACCTGATATAAGTATGCCAAACTGGTCAAAAGGAAAAAAAAAAAGTATTAACTGTTCCTTTCAGTAAACCATTAGACTTGAGCAGTACAGTTATCCCAGCTATCCATATATAAATACAAACATATATATATAAATACATTCCCTTCCTTCTTCCTTTCTTTCTTTTTCTCCTTTCCCTCATCCCAGTTGTTCCTCCCTTCAAGCAATTTCTTTCACTTTCATAATATCTATTGTAATTTTGTGTTTTATTTACTCTTTCAGGTTCTTACACTAGGGAGACAATATGATGTTTACACATGTGGGTCTGATTTATTTCACTTAAGAGTATGGACTCTAGTTGCATCCATTTACCTATAAAAGCCTTGCATTTATCTTTTTTATAGTTGAGTAATACTCCTTTGAATAAAATACCACATCTTTTTTATCCATTCCTGAGTTGCTGGGCCTTTAGGTTGTTTCCAAGATTTAGCTATTACAAATTGTGCTGCTATAAACATGGGTGCACATATATCAATAAGGTATGATGTTTTTAATTCTTCTGAGAAAATACCCAGAAGGGGAATAGCTGGGTTAAGTGGGACTTCTAATCCTAGTTTTGTGAGGAATCTCCACACTGATTTCTACCGTGGTTTTGCCAGTCTACACTCCTACCAGCAGTGGAGAAGTGTTCCTTTTTCCCCATAGCCTCTCAGGCATTTGTTACTGGTTGATTTCTTGATGATAGCCATTCTTTCTGGGGTGAGATGGAATCTGGGGTGAGATGTTGTTTTAATTTGCATTTCTCGAATGACCAATGGTGTTGAACATTTTTTCATATATTTATTTTTCATTAGTATTTCTTCATCTGAGAAGTGTGTATTCATCTCAATGCCCATTTTTGTATTGGGTCTTTGAATTTTGGGGACCTGACTTTTTAAAATTCTTTATGTTTTCTCTAGATCCATGAAGTATACTAATGGTGTTTTAATTGGGATTGCATTGAATCTGTACAACAATTTTGAGAGTATGGCTATTTTCACAATGTTGGTGCTTCCTATCCATGTGCAAGGAATATTTTCCATTTTCTGAAATCCTCTTTGATCTCTTTTTTCAGAGTATTGTAATTTTCACTGTATAGATCTTTTACCTCCTTTGTTAGATTGATTCCTAAGTATTTCATTTTTTAGACGCCATTATGAAAGGTATGGTTTCCCTAATTTTTCTCTCAGTCTGTTTGTTATTTGTGTACAAGAATGCTATTGATTTTTGAATACTGACTTTGTATCCAGCTACACTAATGAATTTGGTTATTACATCTATAAGCCTTTTGGACAAGCCAGTTTTTAAAAGGGCAAACGATTCAAATAGCCATTTCTCCAAAAATACGCAAATGTCCAAAAACTGTAAGAAAAGATGCTCAACATAATTGTCTTGATTTCTTTTCTCTCATTGCTGAGACAAATACCCAACACCCAGAATTAAGGAAGGAAAGGTCTATTTAGTTCCCAGTTTGTGGAGGGTTCAGTCCATATTTGGCTGGCTCCAACGCAGAGTGGCACATGGCAGAGGGCAACAATTTGTGGCAGCTGAAGACAGCAAAAGCAATAAGAGCAAAAAGGGGCAGAGGAGCAAACCTCTTTTCCTGCCTTACATTATATATTGGCTATCTGCCCATGCCTACACCTACACCATCTCAGTGCCCTCCTCTTGCACAGGCTCAGGATGAATACCAAAAAGAATCGTAGAGTAGGAAGGGCATGTCCTTTTCACCCCAAGATGTAGAATTGCTGAGTCACTTAGCCAAGCCTCTGGACTCCTCAAGTTGACACAGTGTATTAACCATAACAATCCACCCCTTGTCAACTTGGCAACCAAAGACATTTATGTAAATCATTTTCCAGATACAAAGACATTAGAACCCTATACATTTTGCCCCACAAAGACTCACACACATCCCTTTATGCAAAAGGCATTTAGTCCATCTGCAAGAGTTGCTAAAGTCCTAACAGTTTCAGCACTGCTGAAAAGTCCAAGTCCCAAGTCTCCTCCAAGAGGTAAGGCAAACTCTTAGTTGCAAGCCCTGGTATAAATGAAAAGCTAAACACTTCCAACATTCAATGGCACAAGATAAACATTACCATTCTAAAATGTACAAACAGAAGGATACAGAGCATTGGGCCAAAGCAAGTCCAAAATCCAGCGGGGCTAACATTATGTCCAGCATCTGAAGCAATCTGTGGCACACTGTGAGCTCCAAAGGGCTTCCATGAACTCCACCCCTATGGCACCTCTGGTGGTTACAGCTCCTCTGGTGGCTACAGCTTCTCTGTTAGGCCTGTTTTGCTCCCTCCTTGCAGCTTTCCTTAGACGATCCATGCTCCTGGCTTTTCTAAACTTCTGAGTTCTCCAGTGCACCTTTGGCTTTACACTCACAGCTTCACACATTGCCCTCTCAGGAGCACACTGCCTGGCCTCCCAGGCCTTTTAAAGTCTGGGTGGAAGCCTCTTTCACCTCAGAACTCTTGCATTCTCCGTGCACCTAAAACTAGGGCCACATGGGTGATGCCAAGGTCTGCTGCCATCTGGAGCAGTAGCCAAGCTTTCCCCTCTCTTGGCCATAGGGGTCGAGTGCCTGGATAGTTGGGCACTCTGAACCTGATTCTAATGAACAAATTCTCTATGCCGCTGCCATTCTGGAACCTAGTGCAGCCACTGCCGCAGTTCTGGTATATGGCACTCTGCCACTTTCTCCTCAAAGCAAAGTCTTTCATCTTTGCAGGTTTGAGGCTGCAAAGGATGGAGACTTGGTGCCTCTAGGGATGCCCTCAGGCCATCTTTTCCATTCTCC